TCTACTTTCACAGTGTTGGCTGACAATGAAAAATATATTTTATTATTCTCCATGTTACACACCGCATGGAACTACATACGGTAGAAATCGACAGCCGAAACTACCAGCCAGGTAAGTTTTTTTCTTCACCAAAAAAAAAAATACCATTATCTGGGAAAAAAAAGAAACCTTAAATTTAATCGACCCTTTTAGGCTGTTAAAATGCAACTGTTATAAGTTAACGTTGCCTGCACCTGGATGAAAGTCCTCAAAAATGTACCGACAAGTGACTCAACAAACTACATACGTATATTTCAACTAGAGTAATCACGAGACCTTTAATATGTAGCTGCGGAGGAGCTAAAAGACTTGCGGAAAGGAAACGTCAGTTGTTCCTCAATCATCGCTCCTCCATCGAACATCCTCAATGCCTGCTCCTCGAAGACAAATTGAGGTGCTCCCTAAAGACTCGGTAAATCGAAAATAAATGTATTGTAAGTTTGACACACAATGTAGTAGAGTTTTGTTCAGAATCCTGCAATTTTTAATGATTAAAATAACAAATGAGCAAGTATATATCATGAGATTTCAAAATTGTGAGGAAAATCAGGCCTTTGTCTCTGCTCTCCAACGTTGTGCACGTGTCTGCTAAATAAATAAAAGCACATTCTCTGAAAATGTTTGCTACTTTGTCGAGCTTTTTTCTAATGCCTTCACATGCTGATATGTTTGCGTTGAGAAATTATACGCACTTCCGGGACTCCTCTCCGCCGACAAGACGGGCAACGGGCTTATCTGCAGTATCAGATATCCTTTTTTGGGAATTTAAATGACACAACTAAGCTGTTCTGGAAATTGTGGCATCCAGTGAGGATGCACTCCGATTAGCTAAAAACATCTACAATGCTAGCACATGACTCCGCATTTCATTTCATTATGTAATAAGCCCTGAAAATGGGAAGCATTTTTTAAAATGAGCTAAAATGGCTAAATGGTGAAAACTGAAATGGTGAAAAACGGTTTCATGCTTCACTGCCACAATTCCATGCGATAGTAGTTGTCGGTTTTCCCACCTTTTCAGCAACTATGTTCAAACATGTATCATGTATTCAGAAACAAATCTGTGATTTCACTTTACAGGGTCTTCAATATTACGGCATATGAACAGCTTCCGTCGTTTTCTAGGGAACCTTTACAAGCAAACAAGATTTTTTTTTTCCAATTGCCAGAAGTCAACGAGGTTAGTCGCCAGCTGAGCTGTGACCCTAATGAGGATAAGCCCTAAAGCAAGTAGATGGATAAAAGAATTACAATTTTGAAAATGACAAGAAACAGCAGGGAAAGGTGAATAAATGGGGAGATTAGGAAGGAAAGAAGGAGAGTGGCGGTTGGCATAGCGCACACTTCTTTGTCACCTCATCATCTTTACAGTGGTGGTGGGTGTGCAACTTGAGGCTCGGATGCGTTCCCCCTTGAGCCGTTTTGATTTCATCTGTTTGCAAGCGGCAAAAGAGTGCAATCGCATCACGGAGTTAGTCTAAATTACTCATACACACATTTCCCCAAAGGGCTGTTTTCTATAAGCGCGTGTACTCCACACCCCATGCATCTGTGCGTTCTGATGCTGAAAGCGCAGGAAGCAATATGAGTGCACACGTTTTATGGCCCGCCTGCTGACTTCAGATGCGCCAGGACTGCTTCAAATCTTGACCTCTTCTCCCGCTGGGGGAATCGAATCTGACCTCAGATCAGCACATTGGACCGATGACTTCTCCCTCTGGGCAGCTTCACTCCTTATGATTATTATTAGAAAACCGTCAACTCACATCTGTAGCAAGACTGCCCCCTGGTGGCTAAGTAGGCACACACACGCATGCACACATGCACACATCTGCACGTGCATGCGCGCACACACACACACACACACACACACACACACACACACACACACACACACACACACACACACACACACCCATGGCACAGCCAGATCCCCTTTTACAGTCACTGGAGCTGGGAAGCATTCCCAAGCCACAGTGTGGCAGCTGGCAGTACCCAAAAGTCGGTTGAAAATTCCCACGTTCCCCAATGTCTCATGGTTTGCTTTAGAGCCGTAACTGTCATAGAATCAATTTCTAAATTCACAGAAGGGGATATGGGCAGACCCAAAATTGACCAAATATGCTACGTTTTGTATGCATGGGTTTGTTTTGGGCAATCTTTCCATGTCACAATTTTGGTAATGGATCACTTTTGCAGTCAAAGAGGGATTGGATAAACTCGCCAAATTCCAAACTGGCACATGAAAATATGATTTTAATTTTTTTTACTGTGCAAAATGCTGTTTCCAAACAGCCCCACACGTGTCCCTTTGCAGTGGGGGGGGGGGGGGTCTTTCAAATCTGGACCCAAACATTGCAGAAAATTCCACTTCTCCTGGGATCCATGATCAAACATTTTATGAAAGTACTAAGATGTTGGGAAAATTATGTTTCTGGACTGTTTGTTCAACCAGTAATGTTCTGAAAAATTAAAAATTAACTGGTCCTTTCACAGCATTTTCCCTCCGTGCCATCACTTTTGGACAGTTGTTTTTCTTTTCTTTGGTTGGAGCTCGAACATTGTGTTTATCAGACACAATTGCACTGTTACTACTGAGCCAGCTTGTGGCATTTAGGGAGTTCCAGAATGGGCACAAATAAAACAGCTTGAGGACAGGTGCCACAGGAAAATAGCCCCTTCCTTTATTGAACAGGGTTACAACGTTCCAGAACCTTCGTTGAGAGATGAAAGTCTGATTTTAAAGTCATGTGCATAACACCAATACAAAATATGCACGTATTTTTCTCCACTCAGGGTCCCCATTCTCATGTTCTACACTGTATTATCTGTGACTTTGAATGCATTAAATTAGCTAACAATTTTTAATGCAATTCTGTTGCACTATATCGTCTGTGTTTGTGTTATGATCCCACACCTACAAGATTCTGATCTTTCCTCCTGGCTCATATTTATTGCCATGAGTGGGCAGTAACGTAAGTCCATATAGAAAGATGATCACAGCCAAATCCCACAATACACTTATCAAAATCTGCGCTCCACTGAGACAGCAGAAAGTGAACGATAATATGGCGGGTTTTGAGTTAACCATATACAACACTTTCTCCTCCTTAACGTCAGGAATGTGACTTTCCCGGAATTAGCTGCCAGGTTGGCAGCTACCTCCACGAGATGGGGAATAAATGCCATGTTTGCCCTTTGAGCGCCCATCTGCTTTGTGTATAATGATGTTTTCACACCCTCGCGGTGAAAGCTTGCTGGCCGGCATTTCAAATTCAGGGAAGCGCGGCAATCAGGATTAATAACATAATTGAATGCCCGCAGGGTGGGAACACGGGCGGGGATGTGTTAAGGCACAACAGCAAGTATAAAAATTCAACGTATCAACACACAGTGGCTTTCAACTGCAGTTGTTGTTGTGATGGTGTGACTCGTGAGAGGATGCCCAGTGCCTTTTTTTGGGGGGGAGGGCGGGGGGGTGGGGGTGTCACTGACGACTTTATTAGGAACTGGCACAATCTAAAGCAGAGATGACCAAAATTTTTCAATGAAGGGTCACACACTACATAGTGGTGGTAGGTGTGTATACGTTTGAATGTAACTGTTTTATTCTGAAGGCCGCCACATTCCATTATGAAAGGGTGTGCACACTTGTGCAACACCATTACGCCCCCCCCCCCCCACGACCCCTTGCAAAGAGGGACAGTATTTCCAATACTTTCTACAGGCTGTCTGTGAATAAATGGTGGAAAAGGTTTTGAAGGGATTTGTTTTGGTCTCAACACCAATCCTGGAATTTGAAAAGGGCTGTGTAGAATTTTTATATGCACTGTATTGGCTCTACCCAACTTTGCGCCCGCATAGCTTCCACGCTTTATCTCACCGTCATGTACCAGAGAGAAGGATTACATTTAATGTGTCAGATGACCTTTGGCGTGCAAGACAAAAATCAAAAAGCTCAGACCTGCAAAATCCATAAAGTATCACAACGCGGCAGCTGTAAAAGATTATGAGGCTCATATCTCTGGGCGTGCAGTAAAATAATACAGAGAAAAACTTTTTTTTTTTTTAGCTTCAACGCATTTTGATGAAAAACAGACAAAGCTGATTATGTTGCAGCTTCATCGTGTCCACTCATCTATAGCATTTGTCTTTCAGAAATTTGAAATGCATTTGTTAAACAGCCTAAAGTCCGCTTGTTAACTGAATCATGTTTCTATGGCAAGGTCCAACACGTGCTCATAAAAATAAAAATGCGAACAAGTCCATTATGTCATTGTCCTCCCAGTCAGGAAGCTCACATAATATATTTTGCTATTTATATGCACTTTGTCCTCATTTATGACAAATTTATTGCAACATTTTATCCACTTAATAAAATGAAGATGAAGTTCAAGTCTCAAAGACACCATACGGTGATATAAATAATAATGCCGTTTTAATGACACCGGCTACATTCATTTAACTTTACCTAATGTTTTGTCCTTGATATGTTGACAATAAGGGAACCAAAAGGAATGATTAGAAAGTTCAAAAACAGAAAGAATCATTCTTAGTTATGATTGACACTGACAAGAGTGAATAAGCGTGCACTAGTATCCTTGATAAAGACTTAGATGTGGCAATACATTTCGGACTGCATCAAACTGGACTGTGCAAATGTACCTAGTGAAGCAATGCAGGCTTCCTTCTGGGACCCTCAGAATCAACACTGCTGAGAAGTGGGCAAGATGTTCAGGGTCAGGTCTGGAGACTTGTGGTCCCAAGTCAAGTGCACTCCAGTGTGGTGGCTACGTGGTACGTCCGAGCCAGCGTCCGCCGCTTCATCTCTCGCACCATCTGACACACGGCCAGGGAGTAACAGCAACACACGGTACTCCAGTCGTTGCACATGTTCCCCTGTGGAACACAGCAACTGGTTTTGTAGTTCATCCATCCACTCCCCTCAATCGACGAAAGTATTCAGTGGGGCTGGGCAATTTTCAAAACAGTATGTCCTTTGACGGACATTCCCATTGGGATGTACAATATATGTTTCACACCTCATATTTCGTTTTCCTGGCTGTGTATTGAAAAAAAAGTACATATTTTTTATATGTATCGCTGTGGCTCCGTACCAAATGGCCCACGGACCAGTAGCAGGCCGCGGACCAGAGGGTGGCGACCTCTGCTTTACAGCATGTTAATAAACTGAAAAATTATATTGTAAATTATTATCATTTTACGTTTGAGCATCATATTCTTTCATGTTAAAATTACCTAGATTACATTCTGTTGTTTAATAATTGCATAGACATGTTTTTATGTTGATAGCTTCTGATTGGCTGTGAAAGTAAGGGAAAGCAGGAAGTGATTTAGTTACCGATGGTGTGTTCTCGGGAATCCATTTCTCCTTTTGCCGTTTCGTAAAGTAGAGCCATCCATTCAAAAAAAAAACGAACACCCTCAACTAACAACTTTGTTTGTTTCTTGTTTGTCTCCCCCCCACCGGTTCTGTATATTCGACTCACCCGTATCTTGTACCGCTCCCTGAGCGCGACCCTCATAGCAAAGGTGGACCCTGGCAGCAGAGGAAAACAGAGGCACTCGCCATACAGATTAGCGAGACTCAGGTCCAAACAGCACGGCGCCACAGCACCGATGACACCTGAGCGGGAAGAACATTAAACACCCCAAACCTTGGAATCAAAGGAGGACAAGAACATGCGCAAAACATCCGTTACATGTGCACTTGTCTCCGCAGATGTCAAACAGGCCGCTGCTCCACTCGCCGCCCGTCTGCGTGATGGTGGTGACGGTCGTCGTGGCGATGCCCAAGCCGGGCTGAGTCAATGCCACTGCGCTCGCGTTGTTGGACCTCCAATTCGTGTCACTTACTGCAGAGAAACCTCCATCCCCTTTCTCCTCCAACATGGACCTTGACAGCGAGGGTCTACATGCAGGAGATATTTAGTGCAACACTTTCGTCATTCTTTTAACAAAGGCAAATAATTAAATAAATTGCATGTAATAAAACACACTAAAAAATTGTCCTTTCGTGGTCAGCAAATTCTCCACTCATTTGTGAATTTTGTTCATTATTGACTACATTTAGAGGCATCACTTTGTTTTACGTATGTGAATGAATACGGTGTACAGCAAAAGACTGGCTGGATAAATATATATACAGTGGTGCCTTGAAATCCAAGTTTAATATTGTATATTCTGTGACCACGCTTGCAAATAAAAACACTTGGATTTCAAATCATCTTTCCTCAGTAAAATTAATTAAATTGCCGTTCATTCATTCCATCCTCCTCCCAAAAAAACAACAAAGGGGCATAAGCACTTCAGATTTTTTTTAATTGATCTATGTTGCTCATTGAACTTAATTTTATATATTTATGAAACACTTCTCAACAGCGAAACAGCAAACTGGACTAGATTTTGTCTTCATGTGAGGAAAACATGCATTCTCTTCCATTTTGAAACTTTTTTTTTAGCCACAATTCCATTGAGTCCTCTCTCACGTGAGCATTGTTATGTCTGCAAAGGCAGAACTATTGATACAGCTCTTATATTGGATCTCATTAGAATACAATGATTAGCTTATTTGTACAGTATGTGCCTAATGCTGTGGCCTGTGAATGTAACACCAAGAAAGACAGCACACAGCAGTTAAGCCAAATACTCTTTGCTGTAACGCTGAGTGTTGAAGACAAGCGGCCGAAAAGACTTAACACTTACTGGTGTGTGACAATGGTCTGCTCCATGACTACAAGCCGCTGCCATCCAGAGAGGGGAGTGAGGCCTGAGAGATGACGAGGAGAAAGAAGTGGCACTCACCCTGTGTGGGGGAGAATGTCAGGGGCAGATAAAGCAGCTTGACGCAAGGCTTGCCAAGGAAAAAAAAAAAAAAACCCGTGCGGCAGAGATAAGTCTCCTAGCTGTCCTCTACATGAAACACTGCTAAAGATACACATTGGGGTAAATGTATATAGCCTTGAATACCCCATGCCTCAGGTTTTACAATCATAAAATTTCATTCAGGTTTAAAGAACAAAAGCATTTCTTTAAAAACAAATTTTGGATCAACAATTTAACAGTTAAACAGTGAGTTAACAGGAACAGTTACCTGGAGGGATTTTTCTGACCCCAGGTGCTTTTGATCTTTGTCCAGCCTGGGCTACTCAAAACTATTTTGAGGTTGCTTGCTCACGTTCTGCAAGTACCAAAAGAACATCTTTTTTTGACTTCACTGCCGCATGGAGGTCACCTGACCCTCTTCTCCAACAACCTGAGAGACCTGGCCCATATATTGCAGTTCATCTTAGGCCACAGTGACAAATGTACCCCTCTGTTGGCTCAGGGCTCAGATCCTCAATGAAGTCCCTGATGGCAACTTTGCCAAGTTTAGGCTTAGCCTAACTGTCACTCATGGCTCAAATACCTTTGCAGAAGAGTTTGGGAAGATGGTGTCACACAGTCATTTTCTTTTGTGAAGTATGATAAGACTTTTTATATGACGTGTGAGCACAAAGCGTGACGCCAACTGCTGACGCCCACGGACAACCGGTACTTTACCGTTGAATTCAATAACGGCATCATAAATTGCCTTTTTTAGCGGAACAATTTTGCGGTTTCGTATGATTTTTTTTCAACTGTGACAAATTAAAACTATCTTAAAACAATAAAGACTAATACACTGTAGCAAATAAAAGCACACGTTCCCTTTTCTACAAAACATGAATCTACAGTTTGAAAAGATCTATCGTCCATTATTTGACACAGACAATCAAACGTGACCGGGAACGTGTGTGCATGGAAAATGTAATAGTATGCAAGGGTAAGACATTTTTCATAGTTTTGAAGGAGGCCGACATTGTGACACATTCCTGATGTGCATGTTCCTTATAAACGCAAAGCAAGTAAATGTTACACTCACCCTTGGGCAGGAAAACAAAAACTGACTCCGACAAATGAGGTGCAGGCAAGGGGAAAATTGATTCAGGGAGAGAATACCAACAGTTCACCTGCAAAAGGGAATTGATTTGTTATGTCGGCTGTGATATGATGCGACACTTTCTTGTTCAACCCCGACTCATCAAGTGAAAACAACATCAAATGTGAAGAGCATTAAAGATTTGACACAACATGTTTGGTTTGTATCACAGAAACGCGCATCAAAGGGGAAGACATTTTAATAATAGCCATCCCTCGGGCTGAAGTATTAATCATGTTGCCTTTGAAGCAGCCAACCGCCGTGGTGCTCATACCTTGAAGGAATCGAGCTTCCTATTTGATACTCAATGTCACTTTGGCATCTCCATCTCGGCAACAACTGCATGTGTCCAGCAGTGAAAGACGCTCACATATAGCATGCATTGCTGTATTATTCATAAAGCTGGCATGAATTTATGACAAATATGAATTTTTGCTCAAGTGGTGGGTATCTATGAGGGTGCGTGCCAAATATATGACAAAGTTAAATTTGGTGTTACCTCAGAGAATAATAATCATGAGATTACCTTTTAATTGGAACGCACTTGTCATCGTCCATACAGTCTTATAGGGGCTTTTGTCACTTCTTTCAGTTCGCAGTCACTTTTTGGAGCTCAAAGCGCACCCAACCCTTTCGTTCTGCCCCTAATCGTCACAGTAACAAAATGTACACTCGCCCTTGGCCCAGCGGTTTGCAGGACAGGATGAGGGCTGCCCTCAGAATGAAATCGATGTTCAGAAGAGGTTGGAGAGTAGGGGGGGGAAAAATATGAGAATGCTAAACATTTCATTACACAGGTTTTATTATTTCTCTGGGGTGGGAAAAAAATAACGTAAGACAAACAGAGTCTATGGAAACACAAAAGGAGGGACAAGGACGTTTCATTTTAGATGAACAAAACAAGCCGGGAGACACGATTCCATCAGTATGAAAACAACAGGATCGGGCTTAGATTTTGATGATAAAAGTTGTTTCAAAGTGGGGGTGCTTCTTCTTTTAAGTTTTTTTTTTTTTTTTGTGTATTTAAAAACAACTTTCCAGATATCAAATCACAATGGCCTATTATGTCACAACATTTCTTGATGACTGTGTTAGAGCGTGTGTGTTTTAAATTAAACCAGGTAGGCCAGAGTGTCACCGATGTCCGCAGTGAGCCCGTTGTCAGCCACAGTGACTTTCTTCTCATCCAAATTGATGCTGAACACGGACTGAGACGAGATGATGACTTTGCCCAGCTCCTCCTGTCCCAGCACGGGCACCCGACGGGGCCCCAGCAGGGGGTCCTCGTACCTCATCAGCTTCACTTTGGAGAGATCTGGTGGGAGGGAGCGTTGGCAACAAAAGGTCAAGGTTATTTTGATTTGTGCAACATTTATGTGGCTGAGGATAGCGACTTCAGGATGCCGAGATGGAAAAGATGAATTTTGGATTGTAACATTGATACATCATCTTAACACGTTGCGAGCAACAAAGAGTGATAAGAACAGCTGGCATTCTATCCTGGCAATCTTTAAATTATTTTTTAGCCAAACTAAGTACAATTTTGTTTTCGGTTAAAGTGGCCCCAAATCAACATGGACCATGGCGGGTAACCAACCTTTGATGAGTCTGTTGACCTTGGCGAGTCTACGAACGACGTGGTCCCTGCTGTCCCCCTGTCTGATGTCGAGCTTGGTCGTGAAGAGGCCGTTGCACGGCTGAGGGTTGACCAGGGTTACGCAGACTGCTGGCTGTCGACAAACAAATTGTCCAATTCAAATTTTAGCTGACCATATGGAACCATGAGAAGCACAAAGCCGTCCTTTCACACGTGTGGTCACCACCTCGGATCTGAACACACAGAACGGTTGCCCTGGGCAACAGTCTTCCTTCACTTTGTCGTCGGCCTCGGAGGCAAACAAGATGTCGATCCGCTCCAACTGCATTAGGCATAAAAAAAATGAAGGAACACACTGAAATGTCTCTATCATGCTGGTTGATTGCTGGGCTGCAGTATGTCAGGCATCTTTGAGAATCCAATCAGACTTGTGAGGTGTTAGCATACCTCAAGGGAATTGGTTAAGTAGACCAGGTTCTCCATCAGAACTGCCCGCTCGTCAAACTCCAGCTCGAGGTCCAAAACCCTGGGCCCGTTTTTTTCGAGGTTCTCCTACGGAAAGCCGCATGCGATGATAGTTTAACTCGCTGGGAATTTGGCACTCAAGTTTATGGGGAAAAAATTGGACTCAATATATGTCTCCATTGGGGATTAAATAGATACTTGCAGTGGGTAATTAGGCCAAATCAAATGATAAATTGTCTTCTAAATGTAAATGCTCTGGGGCCTTAGTGAAGAACAGAGCAGGCCACTCCCCCCACTTTTTGCTCGACACATTATGATTCGAAGCAAATGGCACGCCACAGTGTCGCTCGTGTACCTTGATCATGGCCACAAACGGCATGACTCTCTTCATGTACTTCTTCAGCTCGGGTAGCGCTCCGAGCTCGCCCGCTATCACCTTGTTGTCTGGAAGGACGCCGTCGTTGCTCTGCGCAAAGAAGACAAACAAAGGTGCAATGTAGGCATCCATCGAGCACAACATGTATAGCATGCGTGTGCACGTCGCCGACCTTGTAATGCTTGCCCAGCAGGGATAAGGCGCTGTGTTGCCATGTCGGGTAGCTCTTAGCCACGTAAATGGTGCAGTGTGAGGGTTTGGTGGGGGGCTTCGAGTCACCTTTCTGCTCAAGGAAAAGTGATTCAATATTGATAATTACATGCACACCAGCTCCTGAAAAGAAATATTTACATAATGTAGGAGAATCTGATGATGTCTATGCAGGTTCCTCTCAATAAATTAGAAATGTCCGATTAAAGTTCACTTATTTCATTTTTCATTATTCACACCCAACAGTTACCGGTATACTTTCGGACAGACAACCTTTGTTTCTAAACAGCTGAAATGTAAATTCAGATGGTACTTTTAAATTCAGATGGCCAAAGTCAGTTTTCCAGAATAGCTGCCAAGTAGGATAACTATTGAAAATACTTTAGAATAATAAATACAGCCTTCTTTAAACCAACATCGATTAGTGAACCTCTCAGGCCCTTACAAATTTGGGTTGCCTGCATTGTACCTTATTTTTCGGGGGAAGCATGTATGCTTTGAGTCTCAGTCGGAGGTCGTGTGCTGTCTCCATTAGGTACTGAGAGGAGCGGATGAGAATTTCATCCACTGGACCGGCGATGGGCCATGATGCCTTTGTCACAGAAGTAGGCTGTCAGGGGACAGAATGACAGAATGAGAGAGAGAGAGAGGGAGAGAGGGCGTTGGAGAAGGGAAGACAGTTTTAATTGGACTCAAGATAACCACCGTCATTATCATAATAAAACATAACAGAGTGAAAATGTTTCATGGTGATTAGCTCTTTTTAGCCAGTGCAGAAAATTCAACTTGTCAAACTTCGGTTATTGCTAGGTGGTGATGAAAAAAATAGACATCTCCAGCAGAGCAGCCTACTTTATCACTCTGACATTAGCGTGTGGAAAATATTCTTGGGTGTTCTGTGTTGTTAGGAACACGCACAGTAAGTGTGCGCCTCGATTTAAAAGCAGCAACAAGAGGAAGCGCGCGTGTGTGCGTGCCTGTGTGTGCGTGTGTGTGAAGAAAAGCTCCTGGTGGTCACAGGGAGGAAGAGTGTTAGAAGTGGATTAAATAAGACGGGCTGATGGTGGGTGTACTCATGAATAAATATTAGCGCTGGTCTTTTATAACGTTGCTTTGGTGCCTCATCATCCTTTCAAGTGTACAAAAGGAGTTGAACACAAGAGGCGGTAGGAAAGAACAAAAGTCACGTTTGAAGGACCGGCCAGTGTTTTCAATGTGAATAGCAAAATGTGCATATTTCTTACCTTGCCCAGCAGACCCCAGGTGTACTCGCACAGGTGTGGACAGATGGGCGCCAGCAGCAGCGTTTGTCTCTCGATGAACTGGAAGACCAGCTCTCTGTGCATGCCTTCAATAGCCAACTCCCTGTACTTATCTTTGGCAGCCTGGAGGAAGCATTCATCATATTAATACTTGTTCTGGATGAATTTGGGACTCTCTTTTTGTGGGGGGAATAAACAATTGTGAATTGCTTGGGAAGATGACTGAATTTTATTTACCTGGAACTCAAAGAAGCCGCACTTCAAAGCCTCTTTGAACATCATTCTCTCATAGTGCTGCTCCGTCTTCAAAATTCCAGAATTCATCTCGCTGGCCAAGACACAAAATCCTTTAAAGTTTAGGCTCGGGGGTTCTTCAAAAAGAGCTGTTTTTAATGCGGCTTCTGAAATGCTTCCAGACTGGCTCGCTACCAGCGAGAGTGTCTCACGACTTATTTAGCACCAGTTTTTGCATGAAATTTCTCGTGAAAATGCACGTGTGCCCACTGGCAAGGTTAGTGAGTGTACACTGTTTTTAAACTCCTTAAAAATTAACATTTACTGTACTATGGA